AGAAGTCCCTAATTACAAAAGTATACGAAGTTCTCACTGTAAAATGTTACAACCTAAGAATAAACACTTGACATCAAGGATTTCATCAATTTTGGGCTCAATAACCATTGTACCCTTCTGTACAAACGAGGAGAACCAAAATATCCAAACCCACACAGGAACCGAACGAGGCTGCTTCTATGGACTAGTATGAAAACCCCCAAATATTATACTAACCCTTTGCCCCTACTCGAGATTCACTTAGATTCACAAAGAACAAGACTCAAATCACTGAAGGAATCAGGAAATCACAAAGGAGACCAAGGAGAAAGAGAACCAGAAGACGGACTTTATAGAGAGTTCAAGAGGCGGAAGAAAAATGAAATCAATCGTCTAGGGCAAAAACCATCAGACTTCTATTTGTCCAAAATGTCATCACCGTTGACATCACTTAGGAGATCTAATGGTTCGGAGCAACTCATGTGGCCAAATGTTGGGCTCAGGTTTTGAGCCTCTTGTTTGAGTTATCGGGCAATGGGGTGTAATATCTGAAATTGGCTTAACCCGATTTTTTCATCATAGCCCAATGTTTGAGTTATAATCCCAAAATTGGCATCACAACTCAAACACTCTCCACTTTAATGCTAATGACTCAAACAGGACTCATCACATAAGAAAACAATAACTCCATCATATCCTTTATTTACATCCCTTAGTTCACTGCATTAAGATGGACCATACAACACCTGCAATTCACACAATCACCTATTATCAATTTTCAGAATTTTCAAACAAGATTTAAACTTGTTAAGAGGAAGTATCTTAGTTCTCATATCAGCTGGATTGAATTCAGTAGGTATTTTTTCAAGTACTACAGAATTATTATGAATAATATCACGAATGAAATGCATTCTAACATCTATATGTTTTGTCCTTTCATGAAAAATAGGGTTTTTGCACAGATGAATGGCACTTTGACTATCTAAGTATACTACTACTGGTTGGGAAAGGACATTTAATTCACACAACAACCCTTTAAGCCATAAAGCTTCTTTTATGGCTTTAGTGGCAGCCACATATTCTGTTTCAGTGGTAAATAATGCAACAATTGATTGTAATTATGATTTCCAACTCACACAGGTGCCACACAAAGTAAACATATAAGATGTGGTTGATTTTCTGTTGTCCCTGTCTCCCGCATAGTCAGAATCAACAAAACCCTTTAACATAATACCTTCTTTACAAGAATTAAAGCACAAACCTAAACTAGAGGACCCCTTCAAATATCTAAGAAGCCATTTTAAGGCAATCCAATGTTCAGGGCTAGGATTGGCCACAAATCTACTTAAGGTACTGATTGCGTGAGCAACATCAGGTCCGGTACACACCATAGTGTACATTACCGACCCCACAACATTAGTATAAGGGACCTTTTGCATATATTTCACATCAGATTCGTCAACATGAGACTGATCTTTACTTAATTTAAAATGACTTGCAAGTGGTAAATTAATAGACTTAGATTCATACATAGCAAATTTAAATAACACTTTTTCCACATAGGCAGATCGTGAAAGAAATAGAGCCTATGGGACCTATTTCTCTTAATATCCATACCTAAAATTCTTCTAGCATAACCCAAGTCTTTCATTTCAAATTCAAAGCATAAAGATCTTTTAATGTCATTAATATCACTCATGTGTTTGCCTATTAGCAGCATATCATCCACATACAGAAGCAGGTAAACAATCATAGAATCATTTTTATCCTTTTTAAAGTACGAACAATGATCAAATGAGCTTCTAAGAAAAGCAACTAATGACACAAAGTTATCAAATCATTTATACCATTGTCTTGGTGATTGTTTAAGCCCATACAAAGATCTTTTTAACAAGCACACAAAATCATATTTTTTAGGATCAATAAAACCTGGTGGCTGACACATATAAATGGTTTCATCCAAATCTCCATGCAAAAAAAGCAGTTTTTACATCCATTTGTTCAAGTTCTAAGTTAAAATGAGCTTCTAAAGCAAGCATGACTCTAATGGTTGTATACTTAACCACATGTGAGAAGATCTCATATAATCAATCCCAGGCTTTTGTGTAAAGCCCTTAGTAACTAATTTGACTTTAAACCTAATAGGCTGTTTCAAGTTATTCCCCTCTTTTATGTTATAAATCTACTTACAGTCTATAATAGATTTATCTTTAGGGTTCGGAACCAAAGTCCAAGTGTCATTTTTTAACAAGGAGCTCATTTCCTCTTCCATGGCTAATTGCCATTCTTTAGACAGCTTACAACTCACAGCCTCTTCATATGATTTAGGTTCCTTAAAAGTTAGATCTTGAAAAGACAATAAGCAAGAAATAGGTGGTCTCTCATCCTAAGAGGTTCCCTTATTTCTCTTCTAATTCTATCCCTAGCTAATTGATAGTTGTTTAAGGGATTTTCTTCATCACCTACTTCTTGAACAGGCACATTTTCTTCTATTTCAGCTTCTGGGACAGCCTCATTATTAATCTGAATTTCATCAGTATATTCAATAGGTGTTCTAAACTCCTCCTGCAGCCTAGTCTCTTCATCTTTATCTTTCATAGGTTCAGTTTCTTGAGGTTTCTCAGACATGCAAGGCATATCACACTCATTAAAAGTCACATTCCTACTAATGGTCATTCTAAACCCCTTTACACTTCTATCCCACAACCTGTAGCCTTTCACACCCTCAGGATACCCCATAAAAACACATTTTATGGATCTAGGTTCAAGCTTCCCAACACTTTGATGGGAAAAAACAGTACAACCAAAGGTTCTAAGGTAGGCATGATCTGGGAATTTTCCAGACCACACTTTCTCAGGGGTTTTACCATCTAAGGCACTAGAAGGGGTTCTATTTATGATGTATACAACTGTCATAATACCATAACACTTTAGGAACACTAGAACTGATCATCATGCATCTAACCTTGTCTAGAATTATCCTATTCATTCTCTCATCAACTCCATTTTGCTGAGGGGAATAGGGTACAGTTTTATGTCTAAGGACCCCACTATCCTTGCATAATTGATCAAAATTAGTGTTACAAAATTCTAGACTGTTATCAGTTCTTAAAATCTTCATTTTCTTCCCAGTTTGATTTTCAATCAAGGTTTTCCAAGTTTTAAATTTTTCAAAGGTATCTGATTTCTGTTTTAACAGAAAAATCCAAACCTTTCTTGAAAAATCATTAATCAAAGACAAAATATTTGTTTCCACCTTGAGTGATGGTAGATGAAGGTCCCCACAAATCAGCATGTACATATTCCAAAATTGAAGTAGTCTCATGCTTTCTGGTATTAAAGTGAAGTTTATGTTGTTTACCTAGAGTACAATGCTCACAAAATGGGATTTTTGAAATATTATTTTTTTCCAAAAACACCTTTTTTATTCAAGATATGTAGATCTCTTTCACTCACATGAGCTAACTTGTTGTGCCATTTTAAAGTGGCATCAACCTCAGCTGTTGAGGACTCAGCAATGTGACTTGAAATAACTTCAGCTCTAGTGACATACATACCATTCCTTTTAGCACCTTTGAATAGTACAAGTGAACTTTTAATTACTTTTAACAATCCATCACCAAATTTAGCTTGCAGGCCAATGTCATCTAGATTTCCCCTTGAAATTAAATTTCTATTTAAATCAGGAACATATCTTACTCTTTCTAGGGTTTATATATCCATTATCAAATTTCAAAGTCACACTGCCAATTCCTTCAACTTTACATGTAGCACTGTTACCAATTACTACCTCACCACCATTTATATTTTTAAAATTTTCTAACCAAGTTCTTTTAGAAGTCATATGGAAGGTACAACCAGAGTCAAGAATCCACTCTTGACCCTGGTCATTATTTTCAAAAAATTAACAGTATTAAGGTTAGTAGTGGGTTCTGTAACAACATAGACATCCACAGTCTTATTTCCTTGGGGCTCAACTACATTACCCCCATCTACCTTTTTCTTTCTCTGTTCATTCTTTTTCTTGTAGCAATCTTTAATAAAATGACCAATTTTCCACGTCCATAACACATTCTATTCTCGGTCCTAGACTTTGACCTAGGTCTTCCTTTCCCTCTCTTCTTCTTATTGTTATTTCCTTGATGATTCTGATTTTCATGACTACTACCTTGCCTAGTCAGTGATCTATCTCTAGCAAATAGACTCTCGGATTCCCTTCCATGCCTTTCAAATTTAAGTTCTAGTTCTTTACTTCTTAATTAATCAACAACAACTTCAGGAGTCAATTCATCCGTGCCATACTTAATAGCAGTTTCAAGATCTTTATAGGCTTCAGGTAATGAATTTAGAAGAATGACATCTTTGTATTCTCCAAAAACCTTATCACCAGAATTAGTTATATCTTGAACAAATTTATTAAAAACATCAAGATTATCTTCTAAATCTTTGGAAGGGTCTATTTTAAAACTGAAGAATCTTTCCAAAAGAAATATTTTGTTTGGCAAAGACTTTGATAAATACAGTTCTTCAAGTTTATCCCACAAAGCCTTGGCATTATCAAGTTTTTCAACTTTTCTTAACACTTGATCAGACAAATGCTATATAATAGAGGCATAGGCAAGTTCATCAGATTCTGTTCTTTGTTCTTCAATCATAGTATCAGGAAATTCAACAGTTATAGCTTTTGCAACTTTTTGTTGAATAAGAACCCCTTTCATTTTATGCTACCAAATGGGGAAGTCCTATTTTCCATTAAAAACCCCAAGTTCAAACTTAGTAGTTGACATTTGGAGTTCTTGATCAGCACTAGGAAAAAATTATTTCAGGTTCAATGTTCAACAGAAAAAAGTAGGTACAGAATAAAATTTGACAGTACTCAAAGTCAGGTAAGTTATTCGGTATCAAGAAGCTTCAAGAATCAAGGAAAAAATAAGAACACACAAAGTATTCACAATATCAAGAAAAGACAGTATGTTCAATGCAATACACTTCAGGCCTCAAATGCCCAAATTCACCAAGATTCCGTAAAGATCATGTCCTCAGGTCAAGACACAATTATGGGACATCAAGACCAGAAGCAGGGAAAAAATATTACTAATATATCACACAGAACCAGAACACGAATGCAGTTTACCAATTTTAACTACAGACGTATATCACAATACACAAGAAGTTTTATCAAGTTGTATAACAACGACCACAATATGTATAACATATACTACTAGGAATAGGCAAATTGGAACAATAAAGGAAAAACAGTATCAAACCAAGGAGTAGTCATGAGGTATGACTACCGGCAACAGAAATAATCTCAAGAATGATGTTGGTCCCATAAGAGTAGTCGTGAAGCCCTCAGTTTGCAAACCCGAAACTGTAAGAAACCAAAAGAACAACACGAAGTCAACAAATATCAGTTGAGCATTTCAACAAAAAATATGAATATAAACTCAAAAATATAAGATATGTGGTTAATCGAACAGATCTAGGATTTCCAGAAAACCGGTCACACGATACTCTAAGATCTAACTGTGAAAATCAATTTCTCACAATCAAACACAGCCTACATGCCACAGAAGGCTCTGATACCACTGATATGTCAAGAAGTCTCAAATTACACAAAGTATACGAAGTTCTCACTGTGAAATGTTACAACCAAAGAATAAACACTTGACATCAAAGATTTCATCGATTTTGGGCTTAGTAACCATTGTACCCTTCTGTACAAACGAGGAGAACCAAAATACCCAAACCCACACAGGAACCAAACGAGGCTGCTTCTACGAACCAGTAGGAAAACCCCCAAATATTATACCAACCCTTTGCCCCTACTTGAGATTCACTTAGATTCACAAAGAACAAGACTCAAATCACTGAAGAAATCAAGAAATCACAAAGGAGACCAAGGAGAAAGAGAACCAGAAAGACAGACTTTCTAGAGAGTTCAAGAGGCGGAAGAAAAATGAAATCAATCGTCTAGGGCAAAAGCCATCAGACTTCTATTTATCCAAAATGTCGTCACCGTTGATATCACTTAGGAGATCCAATGGTCCGGAGCAACTCACGTGGCCAAATGTTGGGCTCAGGTTTTGGGCCTCTTGTTTGAGTTATCGGGCAATGGGGTGTAATATCTAAAATGGGCTTAACCCGATTTTTTCATCGTAGCCCAATGTTTGAGTTATAATCCCAAAATTGGCAAACATTTCTCTATATATACAAGTTAATTGATATATATACTACTATTTTAAAAGACTTTGTAGTGATGGTAACTAGGAAAATTCTTAGAAATACGTTGTTTGTCAAGCATTGATATTTCACAACGAATAATCAATAGCGAACAAAAAAAGAATGTCTATGACTCGGTGGAGTGGATCTATTTATTTCCTTCCCACAGGCATTATTTTTTTACTTTACCTCATTCATTGACGCTTTCGTCCCAGATTCAAATTCAAAAGGCCTCTCATAAAAATTTCTTGGTTGTGAGACACATTACTATTTATAAGAACAAATAGAAAAAGGGGTCAAAATGTCCATGACATTGACCTTCCCTATTATTATTATTATTATTATTATTATTATTATTATTTTTTTTTTTTTTTTTTTTTTTTTTTTTTTTTTTTTTTTTTTTTTTTTTTTTTGAGTTTGACGTTGATCTTCCTCGACAAGCCTAAAAGGATTACTTTTTGTTTTCTGAAAATTGATTCTTCATGTTTTACTCTTTTTCTTTTTAATAATCAAGTGGAAGATTGAGGATGAACTTTTTTCTTATTTAGCATGTTTGGCTAGATTTTAGAATAAGTAAAAGTTACAGTCATTATTAGTAATTTTTTGTTTCTAAATATATTTGAATAACTTTACCTTTTTTATTTATAAATGAGCACATGACCTTCCTAAAATAATTAATACATTAAATTAAGTAATTATTCGTTCTGAATTTTGATAAAAAGAAAAATGATTACTTATTTCAATATTAAGTGTAAGCAAATTTACATGTAAGTAAACTTTCAATATACACTATCAATTCATTCTCTCAAATAATAAGAACATAAGCCTTTCCTTTAATATTGGAAGCTCCAATCTAGGGTTCCCTTGCACCTAACAACATGAAAAAATATATATTTATTAGTAAATTGCAATGATATAAACAAGATGAATTTCTGAAATTAGTAGTAAAAAATTAATGGGATTTGGTTTCTATAAAATTTTGAATTATTATGGATTTTCACTACATTATAGGTTTTCCGTAAACTATCTATGGTGACGAAATTACAATAAGGACATGACAATATGATGTAGAACAGATGATTGAGTGGATTGAGGAACAATTGAATTGAAAAGGAAAAAACGGTAATTGCAAGTTTGGCATTCAAACTCAGATTTGGGCACTTATAAAACTTTTTGATTTTATCTTTCATTCTCTAGTGGATTCCAAATATTTGTTCTTAAAATTTTCACTTGAATTCCTTATTTCGTGCTGCGTCACATTGAGCCCTTGTCTAGTATCGATTTTATCTTTGAATTTTATCTGATTTTGATAGAAACCACTATGCATATTAATTTTTTTTTTTGTTTCATTATTTCTGTATATTTCCCAGAAGCACAGTAAATGAGGTGGTTGAATCCATTAAATTCATGTAAATTGTCATTACTTCCCTTTGAATCAGTTAAAAAATGAGGTTGAATCGATTGTTACCTTTAATACAAAAGGATAAAATAGGACTGAGGGTAAAATCCAAAAAGTGATTTGACTATGCTCCATTTGACATTGTGTTAAAAAATTAAAAGGGAAACCACATGATAGTGCAAAAAATAGCATTCCCAGATGGGCTAATTTGAAAGAATAATGCCGATGTGTTATAAAGTGTGTGACAGAGATAGTGACAAAATATGAGTTGAAGTGATTTAATTTGATTAAAAAGTTTATTGTGTTTTAAACAATTCAATGATTAGTTGTCATATGGCATTATGTTAAAGATTATGCCAACATTATATTTGTGTAACATGATTAAATTTGAAAAGGTATGGTTAATTGGAGAATTAATTATTTTGTTTTCATTCAATCTAGATTGAATAAAAATAAAGAATTAACTAAAGAATTAAAAAGTATACACATGGAAGACTTACAGCATAATTAATTTGATTTTCATCAATATGGGGGAAAAATATCCATAAATATTCTAAAATGTCAAGAATATTAAATATAATAGAATCTTATATGACGATTCTAAATTATCCTTACAAGAAGATTTTCTTTTTCATCTTATAAACAATGGCACAAGCTGTGGCCAATTCAACTATCTAATCGCGTTTCATCCTAGTTTTAGCCGAAGCTTTTAAGCTATGACTGACAATGGCGCCATATTTTACGTTAGGATGAAGTATCCCCAGTTTAGACCTATGTCAGCCTACTTTGAAACAAAGAAAAACTATGGCAAGGACACACAAATTTAAAGTGAGAGTTTCCTTTTTCTTTAGCTCCGAATCAATCAAACTGGTTTCTTTTATTTGTTTCTTTTATTGACTAAAGATCATGTATGTCCCGAGTACTAGAAATATTCCACCCGTGTTGTGCTTAGATTCTTAGGTTTCAGATCAAGTATAACATTTTCTCATAAAGTTCACAAAGAAAAAATGAATGACAGCAATCAGATATACACAAATTGTACCTGAAAGTGCATGCTATAAAAGATCATTCCTGCTGACTGAAAAGTAGATGCATTGAGTAAAACCATGCCATTCTCCTCTAAGTCTTTTAAAACCTCTGATACTGAAATCCTTCTAACTTTAGCTGAGGACATCTGTATTAAAATTTCTCCATTACCAACTGGCCTTACAGAAACATTAGATGTAGACGAGCTTTGGCTCGAACCATCTCTCAAGCTTTCATGGTAAATGAAGCCTTCTTTCCGGGATTTGATTGATAAAAGTTCTTCTTTTTTTTGAATCAGCCCGTCCACTTCCTTTTGTAGCTCTGGTATGTACTTTAGGACACGAGAAACTGTGGCTGGGATGCTTAATTTTTTCTGTGATTTATGTATAAAAAGCAAGTTTTCATCAAATTTGATCTAGACTTCTTATGGACATTCTTTGAACTCTTGACATGAACTGATGAATATGTAAAATTTCAAGGGTAAAAGATCCTAAGCAGTAATATTCTCCCAGGAAGAAATTTAAATACATAAATTTGTCATTTCTTTAATGGGTTCAAATGCGAGTTTGCAAAATAATAAAGTTCAAATCTGATAACTGCCGAATTACAAAACAATCCATACGTCCTCACTTCTTTAATGAATAAATTGAATTTAGTTTGTGATATTATACGCAATAGTTTAATACTTAAAATTTATCTCCTTTCAACTAATATAAGTTTTTAGATGAAGTGGTTATGGTATCTTTTCTAAATTCCTGAATTTAATTTTCGATTCTAGTCATTTATGAAAATTATTCATGTACTCCTTTTGTTAAGAAAAAATAATCGTGAATCGGGATTCCACCTTATGCGCTACATTGATCACAAAATTTAAATAAATAAATTTGTGGTCTCTCACACAATTTCAACTTTTTATATAAATGGATCTCAACATATGCAAGTTAAGTAAGGTCTGTTCAATTACTTACTCAATATGATGACGTACCGTTTGATCTGTAGCTGGAAGCAAAGAACGAAGAAAAGAATACAAGCTGTTCATCTTTTGACGACGATTACGCTCACTGGCATTATGATCTAGTTTTTTTGCCTTTATGAAATTCAAATTTGTACCATTTTCACCAAAACTTGTGGACTCTAAACCTTTTGTTTCTGTGTACATATTGTTGTGTTCATGGCTTGAAATGGGATCTTCTGTAAAACATCCCATGTTTGAAAACATAGAAGGTGATAGTGCTAACATTTTTTGGTTTTTGAGGTTGTTAGGACAGTGATAAGGAAGTGCTTATATATTGAAAAATACTTAGATTTATAATAAATCTAAAAATAGGTTAATATATATTATAATTCTTGGGAAGTTTAGTGTTGTTTTATCAAGATGAAAGAAAATGACATCATTTTTTATACATAGATTATGTGTTTAGATATTGGGCAATGTATATTATAATTTTTGAAAAGTTTGATGTATATTTTTCATCCAAGGGAAGAAAATGACATCTTATTTTATAAAGAGAATATATTCTTTTATGGATGGGGATAAGTGAATGGGTGAAGTTTGAAGAAACAAAAGAAAAAACAAGACAGAGAATCATTTTAAAATGTTTTCAAATTGTTGCTATTGATTTCTGAAGAAATTGTTATAAAGAAGTGAAGATATTGAATCCTGTTGAAATGAGTTTACATAAGAGTAAAATTGTAGAATCCTACATAAATAAGATATGAGTGTCTTTACGGACAATATTGAATTTTTAATATCTCAAGATAGAATATTCTATTTTAGAGTTAAAAGACTCAAACGTGTAATTCGATTAATTTAAGGGTAAAAAGAATAATAAGCTTATAAGATTAGTCTTCTCAAAACCGTCATGTTGTAAGTGAAATTTAAGGAGAAAATTCTACATGCATGAGTTAAATATAAAAATAATGATCAGATAAGGGCTTGTGTTACAAATCATGTTAATATGTTATGAAGAAATTCCAAAATGGTGATTCACTAATTTTAAAACTCGACTACCCTTTTGTATTCTATAGAGATGAAATTATTCGTTTAAGCTTTTTAGTCATCGATATCTTATTTACTTATAAATTCATATTTTATCTTTGCAATCTCACTCAAGTGCACAATAAATCTATTTCTTTATTGAACGTTGACACATCAACCAAAAAAGAAACAATTAATTTAATTTAATTCAATTTATTATTTAGTCATTGATACCGTATTCAATTATAAATTCATATTTTGCCCCTGTTTGGGCTTCTTATAATAGTTCTCGGCGAAAATATATTTTGGAATGGTGAATTTTTTGAAGATTTTGTGGTTAAAAAAGAATAAAATATTTTGAGATTACATGTAATATTATTTTATTACAAAACATGTAGATAAAAAGAGTAGAGAAAATACATTTTAGATAAATTGGAGTCCAAAGAGGAGCTTTTATATTTTGCTCTCTCATTCAAGTGCATAATGAATCTATTTCTTTATTGAAAGTTGACACGTCAACCCAAAAAGAAACAATCTAATTCAATTATTCATTTTTTGATCTTCAGTTATCAGAGTGGGCTTCGAGGGCGAGATGTGAGCAGTGCGTGTGCCTATACATGGACTGCACGAGTTGCATATAGGCGTGGTTTCATAAGCACGAGCACTCTTTGCCATTTCCATGGGGAAAGCGTACTTCAATTTTTAATTCTCTATGCTCCAAAGCTTCTGGTAACAATCAATTAAATTTATACCTCAAATTGCTTCGAGAATCGTGCTTGTCATCAACTAACGAACATATAAGAAATTTATTATATTTAGTAGCCTATCCACAATGATTTCGTGTATAGAAACACTACAATGACGTTTAAATAAATATATATTGTTAATCGATATCAAAAGTCATACAAAAGGTCTAGATTCAAATCTCACTATCACCTTCTTATGATTCATGTATCAAGCCTATAAGAATGTGAATTGATTTTGATGACATACGTTGAAAAAAATTTAGATAATTATACGAGTTACCTTTTTAACGGTTTAAACTTTTGAAACAACTGATCGACATGATATCAAAATCATCAAACAAATTAAATAAGTTCAAGTCTCATAGTCACTTTTATGATTCCTGTCAACGTGTTGAGGATAAAGCTGAAATAAATACATGTATCCTTTTATATAAACAGGTTAAGTAATTAAATGAGAGGCTGTTCAATTCATTTTAAGAGTTATGTTGATTAGTATTTTGTTCAAAATTTTCAGAAGATCTGCGTAAAAATCTAGTACAAAATCTAATTATTGACTAGAAAGTTATAATATAATTTGTACTTAAGTCTTCCATATTGAGTATATTTATATCAATCGATGGTGAAGTTTAATGGATCTATTGACTTGACATGTATTCGAATAAAACCAAATTTGGGGAGAAATGATTCTTTTCCTACCTAATGGTTGACAAAACGAACTTGCAAATTGAATGATCAAAGATCGAGAATGTTTGGAGAAATGATTCTTTTCGTATCTAAGGGTAATAAAACCAAGGCAGCTAGCTTTGCAAATTCAATGAACAAAGATTGTGATCGACTTTTCAAAGGTCTATTCATGCAAGAACTTCTTATCCATTTGATTAAGATTAAAGAAGCAATTGATCGTTGTATATATCATTAGAAGTGGAAACAAATTTTGATTTTACTTCTTAGAGATAAGATTGGAGAATGATAAAGGTGGAAGCAAAGTTGAATTTTACCTCCTTAAAGCATAACTCGTAATTATCAAACTATTCTTTGCTGCTAAGAAGAAAATTCAAACAAGTAAATCTACCGATTCAATGAAAGAAAGTCTATTGGTTGATCAAGTTCATGTTTGATTTTTTAGCTCCTAAATGAGAAATTCAAATTGTATTCATCAAATGATAAACCGCCTTACAAAATATACAAATAGGCTTTAGAATGTGTTCATTTTATGCATAGGTTCAATGAGTGTGTGCCAAAAACAATTGAGCACTAAATGAAGATTTGTAAAAGATGGAATTTATTATTGAAAGAGATAAAGAGTTTGAAATACTTTGTAAATCCTATTTGAAATTTATATTGTGATCCTCTGTTTCTAATTCATAGTAAAGTCTCATTATTTATTGAGTGAAATCTTTGTCCAAGTTTTACTATTTTTCATTATCCTGGGCAAATCTTTCTGAACAATTGGTATCACAGCATCATGTTATAGCAAAATTGGTGGAACCTGTGAACTAATCAATAGTAGCTGTGTTCAACAGTAGCTGAGGTGCTACAATATCAACGATGGCAGAAGACGAAAAAGTTAAGATCGAAAAATTCGATGAATTGAACTTCGAATTGTGGAAGATGTAGATAGAATATTATCTTTACCAGAGGGATCTTTACCTTCCTCTTGAAAGAGTGTCAAAGAAGCTAGTGGATATGGAAAAGGAAGAGTGGGAGTTACTCGGTCGTATACCATTGGGTATGATAAGCCTAACTCTTGCTGCATTTGTTGCTTTCAATATCAGGAACAGAAAGACAACTGAAAGTTTGATGGCGGCTTTATCGCGAATGTATCAAAAGCCCTCCATAACAAATAAAGTTCATCTTATCAAAAAATTGTTCAACTTGAAGGTGTCCGAGGGAGGAGATACAATAGAGCATATCAATGATTTTAATTCAATTATAAGTCAATTAAATCGGTTGATATCTCATTTGATGACGAGGTCAAATCACTAGCACTATTATCAAGTCATCAAGAGAGCTGAAATCCTTTGGTTGTGCCAATAATCAATTCCACGGGGTCGGCAAAGTTGAAACTAGATCGTGTTGTAGATTTGGTTCTTAGCGAAAATACTTGCAGAAAAGATGGTGCAGAAACCTTGGGTTCGACATTGGCAACTAATGATCGAGATAGAAATCCAAACAGAGGCAGCAACCAAATGGGAAACACAAGTCGATTGAGAAACGGTTGATCATTGTCTCGACCAAAGTTCAAAGGCAAGTGCTAGAACTGCAAAAAAACTGGTCACACTAAGCAAGATTGCATAGCACAAAAAAAAAAAAAAAAAAAAAAAAAACCCAAAGAGATGAAAACTTAGGTAATGTTTCAGATGTTGAAATTTCTAATGCATTTTTGTTTGCTGTGGATGCTCGTAGAGAAACATGGGTAATTGATTCGGGTGCGCATTTCATGCTACTTTGTGCAAAGAGTTGCTCTATAACTGTGTACCAAGCAACCTCAGTAAGGTATATCTTCGAAACGGTGAGATTTGCAACATAGTTAGAAAAGGTGATGTTTAGATAAATCAATCTAATAAAGCTGTTCTAAGAATCAAAGATGTTAGACATGTGCCATGTTTACAAAAGAATCTAATTTCTATAGGTCAAGTTATTGACTCCTATATTATAACCTCATTGGTTGGTAACACTTGGAAGATGATCAAAAGAGCTACGGTGGGAGCTTGTGGTAAAAAGGAAGGTACTCTCTATGTTACTTCTGGTACTCATAGTTCCATTGCCCATCACATAATCAGAAGTTGAGGCGAGCACGTGGCATTCCAGACTTGGATATATGGGTTAGAATAGGGACAAAAGTTCGATGTCAAAAGGGAAACTAGTTGGTTTGAAGTCTCTAGACTTGGATTTCTATGAAGATTGCATCTTCCAAAAGTAGAAAAGGGTTAGTATCACAAAAGTTCAAAGAATAAGCAAGTCAGAATGGTTGGAGATGGTATATAGAGACGTATGGGGACCATATCAGGTAGCATCTCTTGGTGGCTCTTGAAGCTTTGTTACTTTTAATGATGATGCTACTAGAAAGGTATAAGTTTACTTTATGAAGAACAAATTTGATTTATTTGATGTTATCAAAAAATGAAAAGTCCTAGTTGAGAACGAGACATGTTTAAAGTTGAAATGTCCCAAGTCAGACAATGGACGAGAGTATGTAGATGGTCGAATGAAGAAATATAGTGCAAAAAATGGAATTTGATAAGTGCTGACAATTCCAAGAAAAGAGCGACAGAATGGCGTTGCAGAACGCATTAACAGAACAATCGTGGAACGTGCTAGAAGTATGAAGATTAATTCTGGTTCACTAAAGTAGTTTTGGGCATATGCAATAAACACAACTGCTTACCTGATCAATAGAGTCCTTCAATTTCCTTAAAATGAGAAATTTGGGAGTAGGCGTGGATGAGAAAAGAGGTGAACCTAACGCATTTAAGAATATTTGGTTGCATCTCTTATGTCCACATTGAGCCCGAGAATCGGAGTAAGCTTGATTTTAAGTCTTGCAATGTTCTTTATTGGTGATAGCATTGATAATTATTGTTATCGATTTTGGGATTATGAAAATCAAAAAATAATTAGGAGTATGGATGTGGTATTTAATGAATCTACATTACAAGGATAGACTTGATGATAAGACTAAGGAAACTGAGATAGTGGAGCTTAATGAAATCTTTAGCAGAGATGTGTTAAAACCCCAAGATACGAATGTCCAGTTGACAATACCTACAGAGATGCCAACATTTCCAGTGAGTAGGTCTACAAGAACTATTAGGCCTATGGTTCACTATTTGCCTTCCTTGCATTATTTATTGTTGACTAACAATGGTAAACCTGAATGTTATGAGGAAGCATTACATGCTGAGATGAGGGAAAAGTGGGAGCTAAAAATGAATGATGAGATGGAATCTCTCTTGACGGATTAGATGTTGGAACTAGTTCTATTGCTTGGTGGAAAATTTGCTTTATAAAATAAGTGGGTTTATCATTTTAAAGAAGAGGCCGATGGCACCAAAAGATACAAGGCCAAGTTGGTTGTAAATGGTTTTCAACAGAAGGCATGTATCGATAGATTTTCTCTCCTGTTATTAAAATTTCTACTATCAGAAGTATGCTTAGCATTATAGCCATTGAGGATTTACATTTGGAGCAGTTAGATGTTAAAACTACATTCCTTCATAGTGATTTGGAGGAGGATATTTATATGCATCAACCGCAGGGCTATGTGGCTATAGGAAATAAGAGTATGATGTGTGTAAACTCAAAAATAGTTTATATTGGCTAAAACAGGCGCCCAAGCAGTGGTATAAGAAACTTAATAATTGAATATTTTGATTGAACACGTCAGAACTTCTTACCCATTTATTTGAGAAATTTTTAGAGGATAGCATCTATTGCTTTTAGTACGTAATGATGGAGGAAGAGTACTCTATGTTCGAGTAGGCGTGGGGGTGGGGATGGGGTAGGGGTGTTAGGACTAGAGATGGAACGAAGGTAGTAATTATTGAGTACTAGGGTTTTATTTTGTAATATCAACCTTATTAAAAGAAGTAATTACATCTTTATATGCTAATTATTGTTTTTATATTTAATCAACGTGAAATTTTACCCTTAACATGCTCCTACAAGATGGCTTGCTCGTTTGAATATTTAGATGAATCGAATTACTTATTTAAACTTATTATGGAGTACTTAAAGAATTATTATTTTCAATATCTAATCGATATTAAGGTGATAACAAACCATATGCTTTAGTTATAAATGATTGTTTTTGCCCCTTATAGATTAGGCATTTAAATTGAGAGAAACTATCGCTAAATACTCATACAACAACTAAATTGAGGATTAAAATGCTCTCATTTAAAAAAATTTGGACTAGTTTGGTATGTGGGTAATTGATTGGGGACTTATGCTCATTTTTTCGACATCTTCTTTTTGGTTTCAAAAATTGTACTCTTTAAAGGTTCAATAAGCTAAAGCACAATTATATGTTTGGTTTCTTAGTGATTGAGATGATGTTACTATAAGAACAAAAGTCGGATATATTATAACGAGTAACAATGGCTGAGTTTATTAATATTTATGTTTGAGTAATTACATAATTGCAATTTTTACCTTTTAATTTTAGGTAATTTTAACTTAGGTGCACATCATTGGTCCTCGCTAATTATAAACATCAATTTTTCCATCAAAACAATCGTATATATTGCACGTGATGATTAATAGTAGATAATCCGCTCTATCTTACTCAAATACGATTAAAAATAGAAAATACTCTAAGGCCTAAAGGTCAACAATCCATTTTTCTTTTTCAATTGTTTGAAATGGAGTACAAAGTGTGACAGTTTAATTGAGAAGGTGGCAATTTCCATCTAATGAGGGCCAATTTGCACCAAAAATACAAGTTTGGAAACCTAAAAGCCAGAAAAAATTGATCGAGAACCCATGAGCTTTATTCATGAAAATTTAGGCACGGCGGTTCCAAGTTTCCCTTAGTTAAATCAATATTTACTCTTGGAAGATGCATTAAGATAATCTAATATATCGAATGTGTTTTACGCTTAGTAATAAACTTTCTTTTTCTTCTTTAATATCTTACAAACAAATCTTTAATCTATTGTATTAGTGAAGTCAGCATTCGTAAGAGGCCAAGTAAAAAACGTAGATAAACACAATTGATCTAGAAGCTCCTATATATTCTATATGTCCACTCTTGACCTGAGTCCACACAAAACCTCCAATTATAGAAGTATACTTTAAACAATAATTTGTTCCCTCTTCTCATACAATGACAAGATATATTTTCCTTTAATATTTCGACGTCAATGGCTTGACTTTTGTACCTGTTGAATCCAAACCAAAAAGAAGATAGAAGTATTAGAGATTATACAGATAAATGAAGTGGATGAATGTTAATTTCTTGGTCTTTTTGGGGTAGGGTTTATAAACTTTGAGAGTTTGTGGGGTATTTTTTTTCTTTATTGATCAAAAAAGCCAACTATGACTTCTGGTAAGGTGCTGTACCTTGTCGATAGAGCTAAAAAAGGAAAGAAAAAAATTTAAAATTTTGTTTATTGTAGTGCACAGTTCTCTTCAAACCTCATATATAAATGGTTGATTAAAGAATCGTTGTCATGGTTCAACCCAATTCTACCTCTATCTTCTTTCAGTATCTAAGGCACCAAACTATTCCTTAATTTCGTTCTAAAATTTAAATCAATGGCATGAATTTTCTACTCCATTCAATCAATCGCTATGAAGATCAAATGATATCTTATATGCTCGAGCTTTAGAAAATATTGTAAGTACCTGAAGATGCAAATTGTAGAAAACCCTTCCATCGAAAGATTCAAAACTAGATGCATTCAATACAAGAATTCCTTCCTGCTCCAATTCCAATAGAGCTTCAGAGAACGAACCCGTTTTGGTCTTCAACTTCGATAATTGAATCACTACATCTCTATCACATATTCGATTAGCTGAAACCGCTAGTATTGAGCTCTGATGATCCGCGGTTCTTCTTTGCTTCCTATATTGAATAGAATTTTCTTGCTTAGAAATCCTTGCTACAAGGTTTTCCTTCTTTTCGAGTAGTCTCTCGACTTCTTTCTGCAGCTCTGGTACGTATTTCAGCACTCGGGACACTGTCAAAGGGATGCTTAATCTCTTCTGCAAAGAAAATTTTATTCAATAGTTAAGTATTGATAAATAACTGTTCGACGTGTTAGCTAAGGCCTTTGATGAAAAAAGAATTCAACCTGCATATAAGGAGCAAGTACAATTGGAATTTAGGTTCACAAATCTATATATTTATATTAGTCCTTGTAAGTGTATATAATATAATTTGCTATTTGTTGATAGCATCCAAAATTAAAATATACACAATCTGATACCTAATTCCCTAACCGTAATTACTTTATAAAGTGTGTTTCTTGAAAGAAAAATGCTGAAAGATCTATAATAATGACCTAATTTTTCAAGTCATCTCTCTAAATGCTTAAAATTTCAAATGATGACGTATCAGAAGATTTTCTTGGGTTCGAGTCTCATCATTACTCAATTATGAAAATTATGCATGGGTAATGAATAAAGGAATCTCAGTATCTTTTTCTAAAACCTTAAGCTCTTGGCCGAGTTAGTTCAAATAAATTAGTTTAAAAAACACAGATGTTACCCTTTGATCTGCGACCGGAAGCAGTGACCGAAGAGTATAATCCAGCGTATTAATTCTTTTCCGGCGATCACGTTCGCTTGCATTATGGTCGATCTTCTTCACCATCTTCAAATCTCCATCAAAATACAAAGATTCAGTACTGTTTCTAGCTTGTATCTGAGATGAAGGACAATGAAGAATATCAATGGAGTCTGACGTTTCTGTTCTTTCTCTATACAAAATTTCCTGTTCATGGCTCATTGGGTCCTCCAAAAGCGACCTGAAATTCGATAAGTAAGGGCACATTTTCAGCAGTTTTGAGTCACAAATTTGGATTGGAACTTGGGATTTTGTTTGATAATTAAATGCAGTTTATTAGTTAATCATAATTCATAAGGAGTATTTATATATACTAACTAGATAATTGATCTCATCGTGTACATCAGCATACATATAAAACATAAATTGTATATTATTTATTTATTTTTTATTTCTTTGACAAGAGACCATCAGCATCAACTAAATGCAATATAAATGGATTTTTAATTGTTTCTGTTCTGTAAATAAAAAATATTTCCTGGTTACCGGTTAGCATAAGAATGAGGAATTTAGAATCAAACAATTTTTATTTTATTTTTTTAAATTAAAAGTTTTATTCTCTCTTTTGTTATAGAAATATTTATCGTTTGCTTTGCTAAAAATATTTTTTTAAATGAACAAGACAATATGTGCATGGCTATTGAATGCTAATTCTGTAATTTCTGCAGCCGTAAAATTGTTAAAAACATAGTTCATATGCTATTATTACTCTATTGAGAAATAAAGAGAAGTTAAAATCTTGTTTCTAAAGTTTATCTTGTTGATCCTGAGTTGAGAAAAATCTAGATTTCGATAAGTGAATGTCTTATTTATTTATATAGCATGATTAAAATTGAACATCTTAGAATACTGAAAACTTACTTAATGTATTAGAATCAACACAACTCGATTAAACAAATTATATTATAAAAGTAAACGATCACAAACCAGGAGAAATTTAAAAGGAAAAAAGTCTGGCCATCTCATTAATTAACATTTAAACTTAATTAGAAAATTCAAACACCTCCATCTATAATCAATTGTAACACTATATAGATTCAGCTATTTTTTAATAAATTATTCTTGACATAAAAGATATTAATGACAGTTAAGGTTATTCTATTTTCCTATCAGGAGATAATTAATCAATTTTTTTTTAATTTTTAATTTTTTTTTTAAGAACACACACAGACTGCAAGGCAACCCCGTGCTAAGTATAATTTATTGAGGAAACAATTTAATAATAACATATTAATTCAAGGCATGCACGAGCTCAAGTTAGTTTTGTCACACATTTGCTCGAGCAAAGTGTTACCAGGTCACGTGAAAACACGCTTTTTTAACTTAGAAGCACGCTAGTCATTCGAATAGATATTTTATAATATAAAATTGAATAATTTTTTCCCCCTCTTCATTTGACAAAATTTATAAAATATCAAATTATATTTTTAATCATACATTTTAATGAACTCACACTTACTATCCAATTATCCTTCTTTCATTTTTATTTATTTATAAATTCTTCTCGAACCAAAATGTGTGCATATACATTATGATAATAATATGATATTAAATATTTGCGCAGTTTTCATCAAACAATCATACTCTACTTAGAAATATTAATCACTTATTCACCACTAAAGTTATTAACTTAGGTAACTCCATTCAAGTCCATAACATAAACTAATGCCAAATACTAACATTAAGGTCATATAACATGGCCGTAAAAAATGACCTAGAAAAAGTAATTTGATCCAAAAATCTATAATTTAATTTATTTTTGGTCAACAAGTATAATGTGCAAAACAAAGAACAGGGGTGGAAAGGATTTAGCTGAATGTTATCGATGGGAAATGAAAGTAAAAGTAAACGTATTACTTGAAATTGCTTAATGTATCGGGATGAAAATTTTCATCAAAAACTTCTTCAACGACTCAGAATTTTGGCCAAGTCAATCACCAGATTGGGTCCGATAACTATGACATTAACCCTATCTCATGGCACTTTAGAATTTGATTATTTTCCTATAATAAATTTTCTGTTATAGAATTGGAAGTACATTATAGTGGACTTTACATATATAACCTTAAAATTTGGACCATTTTGAAATCACTACTATCTTAAAAGAGTGAATCCTCCGAATATTGTTCATTTAAGACGTATTTTCCTTTCCCATCTTATCCTTAAATTGACTGGTCAATAAAGAGGCCAATTGTGGGGAAAAAAGGACAATATGGATATTTCCATCATCTTTTCCATTTTTGGTCTCTGTGTGGGAGAGTTTTCAGTCGAAATTTTCAACCGACCCCTCTCATCACCGGTGGGTCTCAAGTGACTGAAAGAGGGTATACATACTTTAAATACTTGCTCTGACACATACAAGAGAAGATAGAGCAAATATGTAGCCATATAGTCCAAAAAGGTGGACTCAAAAGTTGAAAAAAGTTAATAAAAAAGGATGGAAAGTCTTGCTCCGTGAGACGTACAAGAGAAGATAGAGCAAATATATAGTCAAATAGTCAAAAAAGGTGGACTCAAAAGTTACTAATTTTTGATCAAATACAAATTTAGCACCTGTTTGGCCCCCATTTTTCCAAATTAAAATGGGTGAAATAGTTTTTTTGTTTTTTTTAATGAGTGGTTGAAAAATAAATGAAAAGTTTTCGATTTATGTGTAATATGTATTATTTTATAAAAGATAGTGTTATTGAAAATAGGAAAGTAAAAAATGAAGTTTAATTTAATGGAGGTCAAACGGGGACTTATATATCGGATAAAAAAAATGAATGTATACTAAATTGATTTAATACCGCAGTTGAATATATACTGAATTGATTTAATACCGCAGTTACTTTATTTGTGTGTGGTAAGAAAGCCATCTTTGAATAGTGTAGCAATTTTATGGTAAGAAAACCTACAGCACACAAGCATTTGGCTTTTTTAGGTCTTGACGTGGGCCCTATTTATTGATGTTGTTTTGCCTGATTTGAATTTTTACGTCAAAAATAAAATAAAATAGTTGAGTCATACCACATAATATTTTTTTATAAAAATTGTCGCAAAAAAATAATAAACATGAATAAATAATTGATTTTTTTTTAAAGAAAAAAGACAAGTTATACGCATTTTTTAACGCATACGTTTGATATACGTTTAACTATTTTCGATATTCATTTAGTTCATTCGATATGTCTATGATATAATTCTTGAAATGAGTTTCGAGAGAATATAGAAGATTTATGTATTCGACTACCGTACAATTATCGACGAATTTATAAAGTTAGCTTGTTCTCGACATTCTTAATTTTTCAAATGATGTCTCTTTTGACATTAAAATAATTTAAAAGTTTATTAGGAAACTTTTTAAATGACGTCAAAAATTATTGTTGCGAAAAAATAATAAACATTAATAAAATAATTGATTTTTTAAAGAAAAAAACAAGTTATATGCATTTTTTAACGTACAGATTTGATGTACGTTTAATTATTTTCGATATTCATTTAGATCATTCAATGTGTTTATGATATAATTCTAGAAATGAGTTTCGAGAGAATATAGAAGATTTATGGTAGATTTTTATAAAAAAAAATTAAATAAATCATCTAGTGAAAAAAAAATATTGACAAAAAAAAAAAAAAAAAAAAAACACTTAAAAAAAAAAAAAAATAAAAAAAAAAATTAAGGAAAAAAAAAAAATTAAAAAAAAAAAAAAAAAAAAAAAAACACCGATAGAGTAACTCCGCGCATCACAGAGCAATTTTGCTCCTGGCTCCTACATCACGGAGCAAATGCATGGAGTTGCTTCGTCAGACATTTATTTTATTTTATTTTTTTGAGATGATGCTCAGTGTCAAATTTTTTTATTGGGTGATTGATATTTTTTTTTGTGTCAATTTTTTTCTTTTTTTTTACTAGGTAATTTATTATTATTATTATTATTATTATTATTATTATTATTAAAATTAAAAATCTATCATCTCTCGAAATTGATTTCGAGAACTATATAATAGATACATCAAATGATCTAAATGAATATTGAAAATAGTTAAACGTACATCAAACGTGTGTGTTAAAAAATGTGTATAACTTGTTTATTATTTTTTCGCGACAATTATTTTATTAATGTTTATTATTTTTTGGCGACAATTTTCTCAATATAATTTCTTTTTTTCCTTGGTGATTGATATATTTTTTTTATACAAATCTATTTTATCCTTATATAACGTGACAGGGAGTATATTAAATCATGTATATTGTTTATTTCCTAAAAGTAGTTGCGATAAATCAAAGTAAAACTTCACACAATGTTGAAAAAATTTAATACTTAATCAAAAAGATGTCGATTAATTTATTTGACGATATTAAATATTTTAGATGTATATAAAATTTGGAAGATTAAATTCAAATATATCAAAATTGGGTGATTAAATAAAAATCTCAATCCCAATTAGTGACAAAAGCTTGTGTTTGCCTCCATTAAATTTTTCTCTTTTATTTTCAATCGCATAATCTTCTATAAAATAATATTACACGTAAATTAAAAAAAATTCATTAAATCGATTGGATATTGAATAATAAAAAAAAGATTCGATTAATTACACGATTTAATTATATTGAATATAGTTATCATCAATTAAGTCCTTTATATGTAAAATAACCACTTAGGTTAAAATAATATTTGATATATAAATTATAAGCTCCAATAATTTGAGTTTTTAATTCATGCATCAATGGAACAATTATCCTATCCCCAAAAAATACATTTCAATTATAGTAACACAAAATTAAGTCCTACTAATTTTTCATTTTGATTATTTTAACATCTGAAAATTTGTTATATATAATAGAAATTCGATCATTTTAAGGATTTTTTTTTTTTTTACTTATTGTTACTTTTTCCTCTCTTAATTGCCAACATGCCATTTACTATTCATTTTTGAAGTATTTTCATTTCCCATTTTGTTTTCAAACAATTAACAAATCACTACTTATCTTAATTTATTTTCATTTTCCATTTTGTCCTCAAACAATTAACAAATCACTACTTATCTTAATTATTAATTAAAATCACTACCATCTTAAAAGAGGGAATCGACCGTGTACTGTTCATTCAGGATGTATTTAGATGTTCTCATTTTACCCTCAACCCCCTCGCATAGTAACTATTGCACTAAGGGTCTAATGGCCTTTTTGAATTTAAGGAAAATATCTCTCATGATAAAAAATCAAAAATTGTGTGCTAGGTAAAGGGTTTGATTCATTCTGTTTCCAAAAGAAAA